TAATTAAACAGAATTGACTGTATGTATATATATAACAGAGGAAAAGTATGACAATCAGTCAAAAAAATCGCTCCTTAACACTTTTACATTTTTTGGACTCAAGCCTTCAAATGTCAAGCAATGCAAAAAAATTTAAGGGTTTTTTTTTGTATTTATGGGTGTGTATGGGGACACGATTTTGTTCATTCACTTTTAAGCTTAATAATTCTCATGGTCTTTGTCAAAAATTTCTGAATGTTTACAGGGTGGTTTGTATATTAAGTGGATTAATTCTATTAAGTATTGATGGACTTTTGTATTAATTAAAACTTTTCAGTTTTAATTAATACAAAAATTACAATATGGAATTTTTAAAAATCTAAAACCCAGAATTTTCATTTATATTCAAAAATTAAAATAAATATAAGAATTAATGAAAACAAATAGCAATATTTTGAATGAGAAAGTAGAAAAATTTTATATTTAAAAGTCTCATTATTGTGGCAGGAATAATTGTTTGTGGTATTTAACACTGGTTTATTAGGTAAATAAAAATTAACAACATATAATATTCTATGAAGAAATTTATCATGAAAATATTTGTTTTAGAAAAATGAGATGAAGTACAGTGGGTAATCAGTTAATGAACAGTTTGGACTGTGAACAAATCAGATAACAAATGTTTTTGCAAAAGATTTTTATGTTCGGATAATGAACACTTCACAGAACAAACAGAAAAGGAAGCAATGTAAAATAGAGAATATCGATTGGTGTTCCTTTGTCTCCAGGGGACAATTCGAAACCTTTCAGAGCTCTGAAGACGTCAACATCAATGCTCAACTCGATACCAATCAGATAGTATTCCTCCAAATTTTGAAACTTTCTTTTGTAATTCCAGCTTTTTATATAATTTTCTGATAAATAATTTTTTATAGTCTTTGTGAGACTGTCGGATGGGCACTTGTTAAGTTTTGCATCAGGATTTATTTACGAAAGGTGAAAGTTTAACTATCCCATCAAATATTCATTAACATTTTAATACCAAATTTCAAATTTCATCCAGGCCTTGCATTTAAATAATTTTTTGTGGGTTAGTTGATTTCTGTTCTCTGAATTTGTGTAAGTGCTTTTCTGAACTTTTCATTTAAAAAAGAAACTGATAATATGGAGCCTAAAAAGAGGAGTGTCAAGAACTGTAACCAAGTAAGAGATAATAGCCAAGGTAGAAAGTGGGCACAAGTCTGATGTTGCTAGGCAGTATGGCTTGAACAGGTCTACAGTAGGCACAATCTTAGCTATGAAAGATATATCAAGAAGTCTTAAGCTGCTAATGGCGTAATGAAAATCACATCTGAGAAATAAAGAGCATTGAAGAGCTCATAATGGATCATGAAATTGATATAACGACAGAATTCCAAGAACTCTCAAATGAAGAACACCAAGAAACTCAGCGAGATGGGTTTTTCTTTTGAAAAAAGAGGAAGATGAAAGAGGATCAATGCTGACATCTGTTATTAAAGATCTTTTGAAGAAGTGGAAGGATGTCAGAACAACAGTCATCCAAATGGCATCCAGACCAGAATGAGGTTAATAGGCTTGGGGATCTGTACAATTACAATGCTATTTAATTACTTTAGAAAAATCCTGAAGAAGAGAGAAAAGCAATTGACATTGGACAGATTCTTTAACTCCCACAAACAGAAAAAACATGACTAATTCAGGATGCAAGACAGTGTATATATGTGTTTTTATTATTACATATAAATAAACATAGTAAGAAAGTATATATNGCAATTGACATTGGACAGATTCTTTAACTCCCACAAACAGAAAAAACATGACTAATTCAGGATGCAAGACAGTGTATATATGTGTTTTTATTATTACATATAAATAAACATAGTAAGAAAGTATATATTTTTTATTTTTTGGAGTTTCCAGAACAAATTAATCAAATTCCCATGAAAACCTGTGGTAAATCTATAATTGGTTAATGAACAATTTGGATAGCGAACAAACTCTTGGAACAGATTATGTTCATTAACCATATAGATCACCCTCTGTATTCAAAATTTCTCAACATGTTACTGGTCATTTTTTCACTTTTATTTATTTTTCTTATAGTTAACTTTTGGTTTGAATGCAAAATAATTTAATATGTTAATATGATATTTATAAATACATTTTGTAATTTGAAAAAAAATTTTTTTTAATTATATTTTTATTTTATAGAATCATCATGCAGCAAAAAAAGAATTTTCTTCAGAATATAGCAATGATTTTGAACAAGTAGAAACAAGTAACCATTATCAGTCTTCAGGAAAAAGCAGCGAAATTTCTTCTCAGTCTAATTCGCAATCATCTAATAGTTCAATTTCTGAAGATTTGACAGTTTTACCAGAAAAACAAAATGATACTTTTTCAGGAAATTCAAATATTGAAAGCCAGTCAAGAAGTAAAAACAATGAATTAAGTAAATATACATTGTCTCAGTTATCAAAAAACACTATAGAAGAATCAGTTCCAGAAAGTTTGGAACAAGGATCTATAACTGATGAGCAGAGTAAGTAAGAAATTATTTCACATGATATTTAAGTATGAATTATAGTTGTATTATTCAAATCACTTTTTGTTGACTTGTGCAAATGCACTTTTCCTGTAGTCGGGCTTATCACACTGGACATCACAGAACAGAAAGAAACCAATACACTTTTTTTCTTTCGTATGTATTTATTGCAAAATACATTTCGGACCTATTAGGTCCCTCGTCAGTCACTATACATAGATTTCAATATTTGAAACAAAATATGAGTTTGTGCTATATCCTGGTGTCACACTATGGTAATTTACAAATGTGCAGTACATCACATTTTCACATCTGCTTTAACATTGTCTTTGGGTGTGTTTCTGTAACTTCTTCCCTCTTTGGATGTCCAATAAAACTTGGCTCTCCTTAAACCTTTATCACTTTATGAAAGATAGATACCATAATTAGAAATGAAACATGAAAGATACTTTGAAATAAATATAATAAAATGCATAAACTATATAAATTTTAATGAAATATACAGACATTACTGAAACTCAACCCTCCCCTCTGCTTTGTCTGAGTTTTGTCTGGCTTGTCTTAACTCCTCTCTTCCCTTCGAATGTGGACATCATTTATGGACAGCCCCTTACTATTGTACTATGGTTCTTGTTGAATGAATGAATAACTTCAGAAAAGTTTGTTTCTTGGTACGGTAAGCTTAATTCCAATAATAAAACAGAAGTTAAATAACATTAATATGTATGACAATAAATGGTGATTGACAACTTAACCAGATAAGTCTTCTCTAACAGATAATGAATGTTATTTGGCTTTTTACAACCTGCTCTCCTCCTTTATTCCTATTTTCAGCCAGTCTTTATTTAATGCTTACAGTCAAAATTCTTCCTCTGAAGGAATATTTGAACTGATTCTTTCTTTTCATTTTAAAATATTTTGTACATAATTAATTAATTTCAGAATATTGAAGGTGGGACTTTGTGCAGGACTAAGGTAGGTTTATAGATTATGGTACCAATTATTTAGACTGTCCACTTTTTAGAGGTGAATATAATAGATGTCCTATTTGAATGGTCTGGGGATTGTAAAAATGCCTGTTAAGTATAGACGTATGCTATTCAGGAGTGTCTGTTAATGAAGGTTTCACTGTAGTTTATAAGTTGGAGTGCAGTTGCACTGTATCTCATAATTATATAGGAAAAACCAAGAGGGAAAAACCAAACAAGATTCGTGGAGCACATCCGTGCAATAAAATATAATGACACTTAATTCGCAGTTGCTAAACACTGCAAAATGCATGTGAAATAATAAAAGAAAATACTAAAATCTAGAAACATGAAGAAAATATGTCTAAAAGAAAACTATTTGAACATTTAGAAATTATAAAAATTAAAAAACAATAAACAAATAAATGAAAACACAGGCCTACAGCTACATGAATCTTGGGAAGATTTCCTAACAGATGGGGCAGGGGGAAAAAATAAACAAACCAATGCATACTTGTATGCTGGAGGAAAATACATCCAAAGGCAATGTTAAAGCAGATGTGAAAATGTGATGTACTGCACGTTTATAAATTATCATAGTGTGACATGATGATATAGCACAAACTCACCAAATTCATATTTTGTATTGAATATTGAAATCTATGTATAGCGACTGATGAGGGACCTGATAGGTCTGAAATGCATTTTGCAATAAATACATAGGAAAGAAAAAAAGTGTATTGGGTTCTTTCTGTTCTGTGATGTCCAGTATGATAAGCCCGACTACAGGAAAAGTGCATTTGCACAAAACATAATAAATATATTATAGTCTTCAATTTTATAAGATATTAGATTACTAATATTAATTTTTTAAAAATAAACATAGAGAATTCATGTTTATTTTTTAAGTTAATTTGTCTATTTAGACTTATTCATATGGTAGTCATATGGTATTTGAGACTAAACACACATAATAATGTTTAGTCTCAAATAAACTTAATATGACTAATGCCTAATTTTGGAATTACTTTTGGAACTACTAATTCTGACTAAAGCTTAATTTGACTAATCCTAAGAATTAATTATATTTTTTCAAATTAATTTTGTTTTAAATTTACAGAAGCTTCAATTTCAAATCCAGTTCACAGTTCTCATGAAGATCATAATTTGACTAACAAATCAGTCCAAGTACCATCTATTTCTTCTCACAATCAGATATGCAAATCTGTTTCTACTGTTTCTGATATGGTTTGTAAACCTATTATTATTATTAATAAACATTATATTAAATTATTGAGTTCACAAAAAATTTTCTTTAACTTGTGTTTTTGCTTAACTTGTTGCAGTTTATGTTCTTGTATCCATTTGTTGACAGGAACACATGTGCTAAAGTTCAAATGCACATATACAGCTAATTTCATCAGATTTGTGCTGTTAATATAATTATAAGCTATAAAAATGATTATTATTTTCTTCATATAATTGTTGAGTTCTCTCTCTGTAAGAAATTTCTTCCTGTATTTTTGCAGTTTAAGTGAAATTCAGAAAATATTCTAAAAATTAATATTAATAGTATTTCTGATTAAATGTTTGCATGAATAACTAATATAAAACCCATTATTGTTAAGCTGTTTGTTATAGCAATAATTTATAACTTGGAACAAGGTAAATATATAATTTTCTATAAGACAATGTTATAAAATGATCATTGTAGGTAAGATTTGAATCAGATAGACAATAATCAAAAACTTACTTCTCATCAGCCTCTAAGGATACAAAAGTTTTATTGTATTTTATTCTAAATACATTAAAGAAATTACATATGTTGATTGTAAAAGTGACTCAAAATTAATTTATCAATAAGAAAATTAAATATTTTTATTTATTATTAACAGTTTTTCATGAAAACAAACATTAGATTTATTAATTAAACTTCTACATACTGTATTTTCTGCTATTCACTTTGATCAGTTTAATTGAATTCATAGAAAGCATTTTTCAACATATAGCTATTGCACTGTCTCAAAATATAATATTTAAGATCTTTAATATCTCTTGGTTTTATAGTATTCATTTACATAAAAATAAAATTATATTTATTGCTGCTACATTTGTCTAAATTGCCTCATCTCCATTATAAAAGACATTAAAATCCACTTTGGGACAGTTTGTATATGCAAAATTCAAGTGGGCTTTCAATAATCCTAATATTTCTAATTTTTGGTTTTATTAACTAATTTTAATGAAACAATTAATGAAGAATGAAAATTTTAAGTAAAAAGATAATTTAGTCTAGAATGTTGGTTATATAATTATTGATGTTGTCGAAACCGTGTTGTATTTGTTTATTGTGTACTGGCACAATGAAGTGACGTTTTTCTCAACACTGGGCTAGTTGAATCTTTTATTTAGTTAGAACGTTTTTTCCATACATCAACGTTTCGGGCATCAGCCCCTCTTCAGCTAACTAAATATATATAAAAATATTTAACAGGACACAAATAAAAACCAAAAAACTCACATAAATTCTTTGTAAACCATACCTCACTTCAGCATGGACACTGCACATACAGTAGAAATCAGACTACACTTAGGTTTTTTAACATTTTCACTATCAATTTTTTATCACAATTTTTACTTTACAGGTTAAAAACAAAACCTTTTCTACATTTTATTACATAAACAAGATAAACTCTGCAGATTTTAAAAAACTAAAAACTCAGTTTTTAGTTTTTAGTTTTTAGTTTTTTAAAATCTGCAGAGTTTATCTTGTTTATGTTATAAAATGTAGAAAAGGTTTTGTTTTTAACCTGTAAAGTAAAAATTGTGATAAAAAATTGATAGTGAAAATGTTAAAAAAACCTAAGTGTAGTCTGATTTCTACTGTATGTGCAGTGTCCATGCTGAAGTGAGTTAGCTGAAGAGGGGCTGATGGCCGAAACGTTGATGTATGGAAAAAACGTTCTAACTAAATAAAAGATTCAACTAGCCCAGTGTTGAGAAAAACGTCACTTCATTGTGCCAGTACACAATATATAATTATTGTTAAATGGAACATTGATAACTGCAACAAGTTAATAATAATGTAAAGAAACAATCTACATTTATCTTTTTTCTATATTTTCATTTTTTACTTTTTTTTTATTAAAATAATATATATTTTTTTTCCTGTAGGGTTCTCTCTTTTCAATAGATCAGTTTTCTCCTAATGTGGATGAGCATTTTAATGGAGAATTACAGTCTCTTGTATCGAGTGATTCTTTTACTAAATTTACATTGGATATGGTCAATCAATTGACTCAAGAAGAAAAGTTAAGAAATCGCCATCAGTTAGCTAGATTACGGCTGCAAGAAAAAGAATTGATGGAAAAAACTAAAGCAGAGTTATCATGTCTTGAATTATTAAAAAAGTAATGGCAGTTATTCTAGATTTTTGATTTATTGTTATAAATATGTAAAGAAAAAATAATTGATTATTTTTATGTCTTTACTTACATACCAGTTTTAATAATTTTGG